TCTTTTCCTTTTTGCGTACTTTAGATGACAATTTATCCATCGCACTGTGTAGATATATGCGTATGTATATTTTCGGAATATGATACATCTGATATTATAGTTCACTTTTAGAATGTATTTCTTTTATCAAAAAAAAGTCGTTATATTTCTTTATTAATTATTGGTAAAGTTCAGCACACACATCGGACACTCCCTAAATATATATATTTATACATACATACGTATACATACATACATATATATATATATATATATATATATATATATATATATATATATATATATATATATATACGCATTTTATGCTTTTAATTATTTCTTTAGAATTGTTACCTTTTCCAGTTTAAATTAAACTAAACAGAAACAAAAAAAATTCCCTACGAATTGGATTTTGTTCAACATGTCCGCCTTTATTAAGGCGCCATGATGTTCTTTTTTTCTAATTTCTTTTCAGTTTTAATGCTCCTAGCTTCCCTCCTGTTTTTGTCTTGTCTTGAATTTCTTCCTTTCATTCTTATTTTCATTTTTACCTGTTTTTTTTTTCTTATTCGCTTTTTTCCTTTGCTTCTTTTAGATTCAGTTTGATATTTGCATTCAATTCTCACTCGTAAATTACACGATTGCATTTAAATTATGTTGCACACGTTTTCCATTTGCATAAATATTGTTACAGTCCCTTTCTCTAGTTTTTTTTTTTTTCTCTGGCAGATTCTTTATTTTATTTTTTTCATATTTCTATTTTAGTCTCTTCTCGCTTCTGTTTATTTCGTTTGCTTATTTCGCTTTTTTATCATTCTGTTTCCGAATTTTAACGTTTCCAATCAGCCTCCAGCTGAAATTCATACTTTTTGGCTTTATCTAAGATTTTGTACCTCGGTTTAGATATAAAATGAATGCGTCAGATAAACGGGAACAAATTATAAAATAAAATATTAATATCAACAAAAAGAGAAAAAAAATCAGTATATTTCCAAATATTTATTATTGTTATTCATACTATGTACATTCTGTCTAATGTCATCATCTTTCGGTTATCACAGCGTTTGGGCCGTTATACCCTTTGGCCTTCTCGTGTCTGAATGTTACCCGAATCAGCAGAAACCTGAAAAAGACCGGAGGGGAAAACGACCGAAACGTTGTCATAATAAAACAAAAACAAAGATGAGACCAACAGAAAAATGGTTCTACAGAAGGATACTGATAATTCCATAGACAGAGCAAGAAAGCAACAAGAAACTTTGGCCACTAAAAGAACATTTCTAATCAGAATCAGCAAAAGACAGGTGAAATTCCTTAGACATATACCATATATACTCGTGTATAAGTCTACCTCAGGTATAGTGCGAAACCTGCATGAGTTTTTTGTATAAAACTTGATTTTTTTTCATACAGCTTGTTCTGAGCAATACTAGTGTACCTACAGCAATCCAATATTCCAGTACTGCGATCGTCTTGGACATATTTTATAGCAACTTGAGGCAGCCTGACGGAGCTTACCTTTACCGTTAGGGTTAGTCAAAGGTACCGTAAGAATTTAAATCTGCTAGCTAGTTACCGTCACCAGAAATGCATGAATTTTGACCATTCTTGAAAAAACAGTCACCGAAAATGACTGATTTTAATATGTTCAATATAATTACCTGTGTATAGTGCTACAGCCATCGAAAATGACTGATTTTTAATCTATTCATAATAATTACCTATGTATAGTGCTACAGTCACCGAAAATGATTGATTTTCAATCTCTTCAAAATAACTACCTGTATAACTTTTGCGTAGAAAAATGATCCTAAAAACTAGCCCTATACTCGAGTACAAATGGTATTAAGGAAGGAGAGCTTAACCGTTTTTATGTTCCATTTTCGGTCTGATTCGTGACGTGTAGAGGGTAGCAGGAGGAGTCAGGTACTGACTGGATCGGTACAGGGAACCGACCATTTTTCCAGCATCTTTAGCGATGAATCATAGGTAGCAGTTCCAATTGAGGTCTGAGCTGAGTTTAAGTCCCAGTAGAGGCTAAAGGCACGTGACCTCCCGGGGAGAACACTTGTTCATCGCGATTGGTGAAAGTTCTGTTTCCGATTGGTGATGTTGGAACGTCACTAATTTGATGCTGTTTTTCTCTAGTTTTGTTTGTTTTTTTTTTCATTCTATATTTTTTTTCTCTAATTTGTATACTTTTATTCTTTTTTCATTTTAATTTATATTGAAAATACTTCTTCTTTATTCTGCTTATTTTTATTGTCGTGATTTGCATGTTTATTTTCATTTTGTATTCCTTTATTCTATAATTTATTCTTTACATCATTCTCTCGTTCTTTCTTTTACTGTTTTCTTAATCTCTCCCACAGTCTTATTTTCTCTTTTTCTTTATCCATGTCTTTATTTTTTATTTTCTTTCTGGCAGCTTCTTACGGATTTACCAATACGTTTCTTTTTTTTACTTTTCTGTTGTAACCTAGGAAGGGTTACTGAATGAGGAATAATCAAAACGGAGGGTGGAAATGTAATGGTAATCTTTATAACATCAACAAAATAAAATACTCGCCAGCGGCATTAACTAGGTAAACCACTGCTAGTAGTGGACTAGTTAGCATATTACCGCCCCCTTACAATAATATCCAATGTATTTATGAGGATTGGGATATCGATTAATGTTCATAGGTACGGCATATAACATTTTTATTCCAAAACATTTTTCATTAGTTTTTCTTCTTACTTTGTATCTTCAGTTACAAGTTCTTTCTTTCTTTCGTTCATTTTCTTTCTTTATTTTGTTCGTTCATTCTTTTTTTTCGTTCTTTCTGTCCTTGGTTCATACTTTCTTTCTTTATTTCTTTCGTTATTTCTTGCTTTCTTTCTTTCGTTCGATCGTTAGTTCTTTTTTATTTTAATGTTAATTTCCTTTCTTTTTTTGGTTTACTTTCTTTAGCTTTACATTCTTTCTTTTTTGTCTTTCTTTCATTTTCATTTTCTTTTTTCTTTCTTTCTTTCCTTCTTTCTTGTCTTTCTTTCTTTCTTTCCTTTCCTTCTTTCTTTCTTTCTTTCCGTTGTTTTCTATATTTTTATTTCTTCCTCTCGAGTTTTATTTCCTCTTATTTTTCCTTTTCTTTCTTTCATATTTTTTCCTTTATCTTTAATTAGTTTTTCTTCGCTTTTCCTTCTTTCATCAGTTATTTTTTCTCGTACAATTGCAATTTTCTTTCTTTCTTTTCTTTTCCCCTTTTTCTCTCGTATTGTTTTTTCTTTTTCCTTTTTCATTTCTTTCTGTTTCTTTTCTTTTTCTCTTATTATTTCGAGAGTTTTTTTCCACATTGTCTTTTTTCGTCTTTCTTTCAGGCTCTATTATGCCACTGTCGAATATATTTTTAATTTCTTTAATAGCAACGTTAATTTTTTGTGGCAGTTTATTTATTTATCTGAAGCAATTCTTTTTTTTCTTCCTGCTGTTATTTTTTCTTTTCTCTTCAATCTTCTATGGCAAATTTTTATATCGAATCATAAAGTTTTATTGAAAAATAGATTAAAATCCACAGGATGTTGTTTAAGAATAAATATCGAATTTAGAAAAATAGATTTGAAAAAATAAACAGATTTTGAATCGAAACCAAAAATAAAAGATTAAATGGAATAATAATAATAATAATAATAATAATAATAATAATAATAATAATAATAATAAATACTTGCAAAAGATTTTAACATTTTACCAACCATATTTTTTATAAACATATTGTGATAGATAGATATGAACAGAGTGAAATAGATAAAAAGATGAATAATAAACAGAATCTGATAGATGAATAGAAAATAGGTGATGATATATACAGAAAGAGAAATAGATATGACAGAATTATTGATACATAGATAATGAAGAGACGCCCGTACACACGTAATCACGATCCAATTCATCAGACCTACAAATTCAAAAAGAAATCGGAAAATATAACTCCGGATATAAAAAATAAAATTTTAGTGAGAGTGTATGTTTGGAAGTGGGAAACACGTGTGAGAGGGAAATGTATGAAAGCTCTAGAGAGAGAGTGTAACAGAAGAAAGAATAAATTATATATATATATATATATATATATATATATATATATTATAAATTAATTGATTAAAAATATGTTTTTTTTCTACAGTTCCAACCATGTTTCAAAATAGAAGCTAAAAACCCCAATTTAATTTTGCAATTAAATTAAAAGTATTAGTTCCATTTCATCTTCAAGCGAATTCTGAGTAACTTTTAAAAATTACCGGTTTTTTAAAGACACAGCTAAAATCACTACTTGTTCAATTTAAGTAGAATATTCTGTAACCATGGGAACGTGATTTTTAGCTGTGTCTTTAAAAACCCGGTAATTTTTAAAAGTTACTCCAGAATTGCTTGAAGATGAAATGGAACTAATGCTTTTAATTTAATTGCAAAATTAAATTCGGGGTTTTAGCTTCTATTTTTGAAACATGGTTGAACTGTGTAGCGAAAAAACATATTTTAAATCAATTAATTTATAATATTAATGCTCTGTAAATTTACATTGAGCACTATTTTGTAAAAAATAAAATATCTATAAGAACACTGGATTTTATATCTTACTGTTCTTCTTTCTTTATATATATATATATATATATATATATATATATATATATATATATATATATATATATACCGGTTGTAACAGCAAAAAATGTCCAAAATCGTGTAACTGTTAAACTCTGAACCCTTAGAAATGATTAAAAATATCTTACTGGAATTACGGCTGAAGAGTGACTTCGATCCTCACTGGGTGCCTCATACTTTCGACCTTGTGTCACATCCAAGCTACGTTTAGAAAATCACCTTACTGGAATTGTCCAAGGTTTATTATATATATATATATATATATATATATATATATATATATATATATATATATATATATATACTGAGAAAGAGAGATAGGTAGATAGATGAAATGAATCACAGATATATAGACATGAACAGAATTATAGATATATACATAGATAGAGTGATATGATTAGAATTATAGACAGATAGATATGAACAGAAATATACATAGATAGATATGAAGAGAATTATACATAGATATTTAGATAGAGAATTATAGATAGCTATAGATAGGTATGAACAGTATCATAAATAGATAAAAACAGAATTATCGATAGTTAGATATATAAATATTAACATAAATATAGATAGAACAGAATTATAGATTGATAGATTAAAATATAAAACGTTAGATATGAAAAGGCCTATATAGGTAGATTTGAACAGACATACATAGAGATAGATAGATAGATAGATAGATAGATAGATAGATAGATAGATAGATATGAATAGATTCATATAGATAGATATGAACAAGCCTATATAGAGTGATAGATATGAACAGACTTATATAGACACATAGATATGTAATGACCTATATAAATAGAGATGAAAAGATCTATATAGATAGAGCGATGGATAGATATAAACAGACCTAGATAGATAGGTAGAGACAGACAGACAGATTGATAAATAGATATGAACCGAAATTTGTTGATATGTAGTGAGATGTGAACTGACCTATATATATCTATCTATCTATCTATCTATCTATCTATATATATATATATATAGAGAGAGAGAGAGAGAGAGACAGACAGACAGACAGACAGAGAGATATGAATAGAGCTATAGCGATAGATAGATAGACAGGTAGATATGAACAGACCTTTATAGATAGATAGATAGATAGATAGATAGATAGATAGATGTGAATAGAAATACAGACAATTAATGAGATAGATATATAACGAAGAGAAAGGAAGAAATAATGAAGAGAAGGCACTATAGATAGATATGAACAGAATTTTAGATTGATAGATAGATAAAGAATTATAGACAGATGTATAGTTAGATTTGAACAGACCTATATAGATAGATAGATATGAATAGACTTAGATTGATAGATAGATAAATAGGTAGATAGATATGAACAGAGCGAGATAGATAAATATGAACAGCTGTAGATAGATAGGTAGACAGATAGATACATATGAACAGACCATGATATATAGATCTGAACAGACCTTGATAGATAGATAGATAGATAGATAGATAGATAGATAGATAGATAGATAGATAGATATGAACAGACTTCAATAGGCAGATAGATAAATAGATAGATATGGACAGACTCAGATGGGTAGATAGATAGATACCTATATTGACAGATAGATAAATAGATAGATCTGAACAGACTGAGATGCGTATATAGATATGAACAGAGATAGATAGATAGATAGATAGATAGATAGATAGATAGATAGATAGATATGAACAGACTTCAATAGGCAGATAGATAGATAGATAGATAGATAGATAGATAGATATGAACAGACTTCAATAGGCAGATAGATAAATAGATAGATATGGACAGACTCAGATGGGTAGATAGATAGATATGAACAGACTTATATTGACAGATAGATAAATAGATAGATATGAACAGACTGAGATGCGTAGATAGATATGAACAGAGATAGATAGATAGATAGATAGATAGATAGATAGATAGATAGATAGATAGATAGATATGAACAGACTTCAATAGGCAGATAGATAGATAGATATGAACAGACTTCAATAGGCAGATAGATAGATAGATATGAACAGACTTCAATAGGCAGATAGATAAATAGATAGATATGGACAGACTGAGATGCGTAGATAGATATGAACAGAGATAGATAGATAGATAGATAGATAGATAGATAGATAGATAGATAGATAGATAGATAGGAACAGAATTATAGATAAATGGATGGATAGAGAGATATCAACAGACTGTATAAATAGACAGATTGGTAGATAGATATGAATACATTGAGAAATATAGATAAAGACAAAGAGAAAAAATAGCAAACGAACAGGTTTAGATTTGTAAACTTATAATTTAGTGTCACAATTTACATTTGTAGAATATTTTTTCTTTTATACGTCGCGGCAGAATTACCTCCCATATTTTAACCAACATGATGTGTGGTGTATTGAACTTATCATTGACATTTAGGGAATTCTTCTCGCTTTCCTTTACTTCCTGTTGAAGTCCATGCACTTTCGTCGGTGCGTCTGCTATCGATGAGTACGGCAGAAGAGGAAGGGGACAAGATGTCAGCGATCGTCTCTTCCCCAAGCCAGTTGTGAAGGAGGCACTACCTGTCTTAGACGTTCCCGTAAATGGAATCAAGAGAACGGAACTGGTGGACACTAGCTGCTCCCAGTCACTCGCAAGTAAGTCATTTTGTCAATCCTGGCGAGGAAAGAAGATGGTTATACTAACTTTAAACGCTAATCCCCTCAGATTCAGTGGTATTGGAATCATCAAGCTCGACATGAACAATACAAACTCCCGCCTTGACGTTGTGTTCTTAGCTGTAGATGGAGAGATATTGGGTTTTTACCTGTTGCTGGGGTCAAATTTTATTAAAAAACTGGGTGTACTTCAAATAGCGGAGTGTGGGAATGAATGGTTTACCAAGCGTGGGATAGCTTGTTGCACAGCATATTAAACAACAAGCATCATGGAAGTGGTCAAGTGGTCAAACATCGGAGAATTTGCGGAACAGCATGCACGAATACCCATTACCAAGAAGTATCAAGTAAAAATACGACTGCGAGGTGCAAACCTGGTTGCAACCTTATCCTGAAAAGGAACTTGGTCCTTCAATAAGTCTAATTCATTTGCTGGCGGTGGCGCAGGAAAACAATAGTAAAGTGCAGCCAGTATTAGACTATCAGGAACTGATTGAGTGCTTAGATGCACACACGGTCAATGCTGACGTGTATGCACAGATAACGAGTGAGCGGAGAAAAAAAAAGGACGTAATGTAGCTATCCTTGAACGATGGAAGGTCAACTACAAGTGAATATCCACAAGTCACTTTGGCCCTTTCAAACCGTGATATTCAAGGGGTGAAGATATTGCCTGACACGAATGGGGTACGGGTTGAATGTTGCAGCAGCCATAACAAAAGTCATTGTGGATGCCGCGATATCGAAAACCGAGTCAATCCGACTGGCAACCTCGTCATATATTAATGATATTTACATTGACGAGAGCATGAATTAAGCAGACTACATGTAAGAGCATTCGACTACTTTTGGTCTGAGCTGCAAGGATCCGGTACAGTTAAGGGGCGGCACTTTTGTTCTGGGTCTGTACGTCGAGCAGAAAAAAAACACGCTTAATTGTAGGTCTGAGAATGATATTCCATCAGTTCCCGAGGTCCTGACGCGACACGTGTGTGGTTGCTTCCGTGCTGTTGAGTCATTTGTTAAACGCAGAACAGTGTCGATCACGTCTGAATGGGACGACGAAATGCAAATGATCCCCTTTAAGCAAATAATTGAGGACATAACGGCAAGAATACGCCAGAATGGTCATACACACGGCAAGTGCTACATAAACGGACAAACTTATGATGTGTGGGGCGATGCAAGTTTCCTCGGTTTTCCTTGGTGGTTGACGGAAGCATTATAGAGGATGCGTGTTGACTGCAACCTGTGAATGATGCCAAACATATCAATTTAGCAGAATTGGATGCTATACTGAAGGACATCAACAGAGCTGCATCTCTTCACGGACTCCTCATGTGTCCATCGGTGGGTATTGGACATGTTCACTGGCAAAGCCAGAATACGAAGTAAGGCGGCAAGTGAAATGCCGATTCGGAGGTGTTTCTGTACACTTGAAAAGCTGGTCCAAGAGTACAAGTTATTGGTCAGCTTAAATTTAGAGACGTCGAGTCAGAATTGAGTGGGTAAGTTCATACGATGATATAATGTAACCAAGAAGGAGGTTGAGCCAGCACGACTTATATACGTTTCGATGGTTGACGAAATTTCTCCAGACCAGATAAGTGCCATACACTGCCAAAATAGACATCCTGGTGTCAGGCGGGCGCTGTATTTTGTGAAACGAATTCAACCTATGACTCCAAGGCAACCGTTAGGGCAGTGGTCAGTAAATGTAAAGAATGCCAGTCAACTGACCCAGCCTCAAGTCGTTGTCCACGAGGCAACTTAAGTGTGACTGGAATCTGGTATACAACGTTGATTCAACCTTACGTTTATTGACTGCGACCTCAGTCGATTTTGTGATATAGTGACGCCTACGTCAGCAACCCTCAAGAAGCCTCAACAGACAGCTGGAAATTATTTTTTTGAAATAAGGCCACTATTAGAAATCCTAATCGATAATGACATTGCGTTTCGCAGTAAGTGCTTTAAAGATTTTCTGGATGACTGGGGAGGCCAACTTCGTTTCCCTTACGTGGATGCTCCTGCAGGAAACGACATAGAAGAAATATGTCATCGGCGAATAAAGATAACTTCTGCAAGTTGCACTGTTCGATAATGAAGGCAGTGTTCTGGCATAATATGACGCTGAATAATGACACATCGTCCAGTAGTGTAACCGTCAATATTATTCACTGTTAACAAAATGGAATGAGTACATTACCACCTGATCATTGTAAGAATGATTTTTCAGACAGAATTGGGAATAAAGTGTGGGTGAAAGCTCTCCACGGCTGGTGTACATCTAGGTATCAAGTGGGTTGAGTGACGGACATTGTAAGCCCACAAACAATAATGGTTGACGGGATGCCTCGGCATATTAATGATCTTTGCCTTTTCATAGACGGTACATCGTAATGATCTTTGCCTTTTCAATATGGTACATCGACGTACGACCACGACTTATCGTCTGAAAGTGATTGGGTAAGTGGGCTCTATGAATCCGATGCTTCAAGAGATGCGGAGCTTCCGGAAACTTCTGTTACTCCTGATGACTCCTCAGGAGACGACTCTCCAACACGCGTAATGGTCCCATTACGACAAAGCAGCAGAGTAAAGAGACCTGCTACAGGCTATATGATTTGTGATCATGAGATTGGGATAAGAAGTGTAGCGAAGAAAATGGTGAATTACCTCGGCAACAAGACCTTGTTTACAGAAACGACGACCAATGAAAAGAAATTATTCCGTCGATAAAAATGGTTGGCATTCGGAAAACACTGAGAGTGGCGTTCTTTATGATTTTGCGTTTTGCGTATTTGTGGACAGTGTGGCGAGTTTCTAGACGTTTATGTGTATTGGGAATTTTTAGAAAACCTAGGATATTTTTTCTTAAAAAGACTGCGATATCAGTTGTAGATACTTGGAAAGATTTTTTTCTTCGAAAAACTATTATATTTTTTTCTTCGAAATACTACGATATTATTTGTACATACGTGGAAAGAATCTTTTTTTCTTAGAAAAACTAAGATATTCTTTCTTGGAAAGACTACAATATTATTTGAAGATAGTTGGAAAGAATTTTTTCTTAGAAAAACTACGATATAGATTAAAGGATGAAACAGAAGTCTTTATACTTGTTTTTTTTTTCACTAGGAACTTTCAAGCAAATATCATACATAATAGCTTGGATCCAAAATGCAGGTTCTGTGACAAATATCAGGAAATCTTAGACCATTTAATCTAAGGATGTTCTGTACTTGAATATAAAAATCGTCACGATAGAGTGGGGCAAAATTTACACTGCAAATTGTGCAAACACATTTGAAAAAAACTTAAAAAAAACACTGATATGAATATCACCCCGCATCGGTTAAAGAACAAGGGATTCTATGGGATTACACCATCTTTACAGACAGGAAGATTGAAGTAAATAGACCGGACATAATTGTCAAAAAAAATGAAAATGAACTTGTTTACTAATTGATATTTCCCAGCAGACGCTAACATCGCAACCAAGGAATTTTGAAAAACTATCGAAGAATAAAGACCTGGAAGTCGAAATAGAAAAAAATGTGGAAAATGAAAACAAGAATAGTACAAGTAATAATAGGTGCGCTTGGAAAGATAAAAAAAGAACACAACAACACATTGAAAAATTGTTTTGATACGTCCATCCCACACACTAAGCACTCCATGTAATGCTAGTGATGTTATAAAATGTAGCCATAACAAAACATCACCACCTGCCTTAGGTATACATGCAGACTTAGTAGGTAGTGTGAACATAGCAGAAATCGAAATAATAATAATAATAATAATAATAATAATAATAATAATAATAATCACAAAACAGAAGCCAAGAACCAACTATTGCAGCAAAAGATATGAAAAAGAAAGCCAAGGATAAAGCCCTTGAACAGATGAAACAACGCTGGCAAGACAAACCTCTGCATGGCCAATATCCAGAACGTGCAAATAAACCCAATGTTGATAAAGTTAATACTCATCGATGGTTACGAGCATCTGGATTAAAGTCTGAAACTGAAGGCTTTATTCTTGCAGCGCAAGACTAGAGTCTTTTCACTAGGAATTTTCAGGCAAATATCATACATAATAATGTGGATCCAAAATGCAGGTTCTGTGACAAATACCAAGAAACAATAGACCATCTAATCTCAGGATGTTCTATACTTGCCCCAAATGAATATAAAAATCGTCACGATAGAGTGGGGCAATACTTACACTGGACAATGTGCAAACACTTTGGAAAAATGTAAGCAAACACTGGTATGAACATCGGCCAGCGCCGGTTACAGAAATAGAAGATGTCACCATTCTGTGGGATTATACCATCCACACAGACAGAAAAATTGAAGCAAATAGGCCGTCAAAAACCAGAAAGAAAAAAAAACTTGCCTACTAATTGATATGGCTTGTCCAGCGGATTGTAACATAGCAACCAAGGAATTTGAAAAACTATCAAAATACAAAGACCTGGAAATTGAAATAGAAAAAATGTGGAAATTGAAAACAAGAATAATACCAGTGGTAATAGGTGCTCTTGGAATTATAAAAAATGGAACAAAACAACACACTGAAAGAATCCCTGGAAACCCCAGCTTAAGAGACATACAGAAAATTGTCTTATTAAGTACAGCACACACACTAAGGAGAACTTTGTCTATGTAACGCTAGCAACTTCATCGGAGATAAAAAAAAAAAAAAAAAAAAAAAAAAATTAACATGAAATGTGGCCATAACAACACACCACGACCTGCCTTAGGTCTTTCCGCAGACTTGGTAGGTAGTGTGTCCATAGCAGAAATCGAATGATGATGATGATGACAATAATTATAATAATAATGTAACATTACTACGAAAAGGACGTTCAAGATAAGGGTGTCGAAAAAAATGCGGCGAAATTATCTTACGGCAAAACTCCTATACGGAAAAGTTTTCCACGGCGAAAAATCCAGAGGCGAGTTTTCCTACGGCAAAAGTGCTTACGGTAAATGTTTTTACATCTATTTCTGACATTCAGTCTCTGGTTGGGACCCGGAACGAAATCTGTATACAACATAAAGCAAATGAAATAATAATAATAATAATAATAATAATAATAATAATGGGAACAATATGACTGCGAATAATTAATGATGATAATATTGGCGTTAATGATAATAACTTACGTAAATATTTATAATTTTATTCTTTTCTCCGTTGTTTAACTTCAACCTTATTTATCTTTTTCCTGTAATTTTCTATAGAAAGATTTTATCTCGAACATAACAAAAGTTTACCACTCTTTCTTTTATCTTTTAAATTACCCTCTACTTTATCAATGCTTATTCTCTCTTATCCATATCTTTCTCTTTAACTCTCTCTCTCTCTCTCTCTCTCTCTCTCTCTCTCTCTCTCTCTCACTCAAAGCTCATATTAAATATTTTATCCGAAATCTCCTTTATTTTGAACAAATATCAGTCTCTAGGCATTTTGATTTCTTTCTTTACTGTCTGTATTTTCTCTTCGCTAATATATATATATATATATATATATATATATATATATATATATATATTTGGTTGCTTTTTATGTTATTAATGTTCATCATTTTATATCCTACAAATATCGATTTTGCTTTGCTTTAGTTTCTATAAGTCTTATGGTAAATTTCTAGAACACAGCTTAGATGTGGCACAAGGACGAAAGTATAGAGTACCCAATGAGAGTCGAACTCACTACTCAATCGTAACTGTTCTAGTGAGACAAGATTGCTAACCATTATACCATATCGAGTTTTCCAAAGCTTCGTAGCTTAGATGTGGCAGAAGGTCGAAATTTTAGCGTTCTGCTTTCCCATTCGTTCTTGAATGGTAGGGGGTAGTTTTGATATGCTGTATCGCAATGGTTTTACAAAAGCTTTCAAAGTCTTTAGCAGTGAATTGCATGGCGTTGCCAGAAACAACGCTATCCGGGATACCGTATATAGCAAATAACTCATGCAAGACGTTTATTGTAATTGTACAGGTTGGACTCTTGCATTTTAAAACTTCTGGTCATTTTGAAAAACTGCTAGGAGAAATGATGCATTCATGCCTTTTCCAAGGGCATTAGTGCAAAAGGGAAAGATTTACTGACGCCACGCTGATTACAGTTTTCCGTGCCGATAACTGTCACCCTACCTGTTTATGATTCGCAGAATTCTTTTTCTCCCTCGATTTTGATTCTTCTTCTTCACGATAATTTCAGTAGGATTTTAGATAGATTAACGGCGCCCATCTCCCATCTACCAGTTCTTGACTGATAGCCGAACACAACGGTGTGATCCGGTCTGGTCCGTATACTAGTCCGGCAGATTTTTTTTGTTTGTTTTAACTCAGATTTGTCTTCATCCTGGACCGGCCACTACTCAAAACCTGTCTCTCCTGTTATTTATTGATTCATACATCTCTCAATGGCATTAGCATATAAGTGAATGTAATGACCACGACTGGAATTCGAACACGGCTCTCCGATTCCTCAATCCGAATCGCGATCTACCTTGTCTCCAGGAAGAGTTACATTTATGTATCATGCCAGATACACGCTTATGCGATCATGTATCTTTCGATACATGATTGACAAGGCAGATTTTTCCCGCCATTTCATTTTGTGGTGAACCAGTTGCTATTCAAGGCTGCAAAACCTGGCCTGTCCTGCTATTTATCCATAGCTGGCGGGGAAGAAGGTTCATACCTTCCCTAAGTATATGAGCACGTAAGTGAATATAATGGATTCGTCTGAAATTCGAGCTCCGAGCCGCTATCCATTACACCATCGTGTCTCCCCTCCAGGAATACCTGTATATAAAATGATACTTTATTGTTACATATATTCGTTCGTTTTCCTTCTAAACTGTTTACCAAACAAGGTTATTGGCTCCAGTCTATCCTATTTTTCTAAAGCTGGATGTAGAAGAACTGGAGTCATACTTTTCCATAGAGTATTTGCGTGTAACTGAATATAATGAACACGATTGGAATTCGAACCCTGCTCTCTAAATTCTAAAACCTAGCCGTTATGCATTAGACCACCGCAAAACCAATGAACACCAAACGTAACCCAATACTTTTTTCCTTTTCGTCTTATATTAAATAACCCGATTGATATATGTATTCGTTCGTTTTTTTTTATGTTCTGCGAATGATCTCACTGAATCTGTGTAAATAGGTTGTTTTTTTGTACACGTCGAGGGCACCAAAATGAAATAGGTGTCACTGACATCATAGCAACAGAAATAGCCTCGTATTCACTTAGAATAAAAAAAAAGAACAAACATCGTAGAAATAAAACCGACAAAAGGATAACATGGTAAATTGTACATTCATATCATAAAA